AGGAGAGGATTTTTGGGGAAAGCCCGGAAAGCCCGGCAAAAAAAAACGCAGACATATGAGGTTGGGACCCGGCCGGCGCGAAGGGGGTGGGGAAGTGGGGGAGGTGGGGAGAGACGGGAAACGGGCGCTCGAGGCCAAAGGTTCAACGCGAAGGTCTAATTATACGCCTCGAGGAAGCGTCATCTGCCGCCAAACGCACTGCCCGTCCCTTTTGACGGCGCGGCGGCGCCCAACGGACGGGGCCTCTTTCCCCACACGTCCGGCGGAGAAAGAAAGGGAAACTGTTCCTGTCAGCAGTTTTAACCTAAACTGAGGCAGAATCATCCTGCCGATAGAAAAGTACACAGCCGAAACACGGTCTGGCCCGTATCCCAATGTCATCCAGCGGAAGAGCTGATTTGCGCCACGAAGTGACTAACACAACTGAGTGAATGCAACTCCTGCGCGCATCCGTCCCGACGCCTAGACATCTAATAAGAGAACAGAAAATGGCAAACCACTTTAATGTCTTCCCGTGAACTATTACAAAAACTAGTTAAAATTTTTCGTGCATCAGAATTCGCATTCATGGCATTATATTTTACAACATGATTAATGATAGTCATCGTCGCTCTGCAATAACTTGTCACAATGCGAAATGGAATCTTACAGCTATAAAGAAAGCCCATACTACAATAGAGATTGCGGATACTTCTTCTGATAACAAGTATAAAACTCCCAAAAGATAAAGTTGTAAAGTGCAGGTTGATAACGGAAATAATCTTTCATTTACGTTCTGTAGAGAACGAGATGACGAAACAAAGCGGTTTAAGTTCTTTAATGACCCGTGCTAGTACTCTCGTTCACGATGTAACTTTGAAAAGGGAGCGCTCGTAATTTCAATGTTACGGATGATTGTTAGTACTACGGTGCTTTTTCCACGAAGAGATAAGCGCAAGCACTAACAATCCTTCCTCAGCAAACCGCATACATTTGTGACTTTTGCTTAATAATACCGTAGGCTAACGCAGATGAACATGAGGACAACACTAGCTCATGGACTTGCCTCCTACATGTAAAGTTGGGCAAAACGTGGCAATGATGGATAATTTGTTGAGACATTATATCGGTACCATAACTACTCATTATTCGGAATGTCAGGAATAGAAGTTAAACTTGTAAAGCAAATGAGAGGGTCGCGGTTTCTTTGTGTGTGTGGTTTTTTTTTGTGCTAATTAAGTGCAAAAAATTTAAATGAAAGTGACACATTTAACTTCCCTATGGCAACTCAACGACAGCTAGTCGTGTACCGACATGAGTCAAAGAATTTTGTGTGCCGTGCAAACGGAGACAAGGTAGAAGCTTATCCGATAAGGGCAAATGTTACGTGATTGATTATACTTCCCACGTGACTCATGACAAAAACGTGATCATCTCGACTTACTGCCAGATTGGAAACAGATTTTTTGAAAAGAACTCAAGTGTCCGTGATTGATTTTGATTTGAATTTGCTTATTTACGTGGCGAGACTCGGGCCATTCAGGCCGCTCTTCCGTCTGGACCACGGCAAGATTTGCCTACGCTCCTTTCACAACTAGCGAGAGAAAAGGAGGCTATTTCTTGGCGAGAAACAGGCGATTTGCAATTTACTCAGAGGCGATCATTTAGGCTGAGGATCTCTTACAATGCAAGCTAAATCTGCCGAACATGGGACAGCCCGCTTTAATCCCCTCCGAAGGAAGGCGTACGAAGGATTTTTTCGCGCCTTAAAAAAATCCAACGCGCTTCGATGGGTTTGAACGCCGCCAAGCTTGGTACGAACAGTCCGCAGTACGCTAACCGTTACAACCATGCCGCGCATGATTGATGGTGTTCCGGTCCGAAACGAGTGTCTGAGTGGTGTCCCCCGCGAATCACCACCCCCCCCTCGTGCGCGCCCCCGTGTGGGTGGGTGGTCTCACTTGATCTGAGCTCGTCGTGGTCTGGCGAGGGTAGCCGGCAGTGGAATGCACGAGTAGGCTGCGGTGGGCAGCTTGGGCAGTAGGCCTGGAAGGTTTCACCATTTCGTGCTGCGGGGTGGCGCTGCCGGCTGGCCGCGGCGCTGGCGCGGGCGCGAAGCGTTGCGGCGCGCTGGCGCGCGGGGCGGAGGCGAGGCGGCGCGGCGGCCGGCCGCGGAAGCGGCGCGGACAGCGGGAGCGGTGGCGGATGGCGGAGGCGGGCCGCGGGCGGGGCGAGGTGCGGCGCGCGGGGGCGCCTAGTGCCATACAGCCAGAGCCGCCGTGCCACGAGGCCGCCGCGCGCCCACGTGCCAGCTCGGAAGGGTTGCAGCAGCCGCGCCTGCTCCCCGGCCCGCGCACCCTGCAACACTGTCAAGCGCGCCCAAGGGCGGCGTTAGCCAACAACTCAGTAGCTCTACTCTCTTTCTCTCTCTCTCTCACACACACAGTCCCCCTCTCTCACACACACAGACCCTCTCTCTCTCTCTCACACACACACAGTCCCCTTCTCTCTCACACACACAGTCCCCCTCTCTCTCACACACACAGTCCCCCTCTCTCACACACACACACCCTCTCTCTCTCCCTCTCTCTCACACACACACTCTCTCTCCCTCTCTCACACACTCTCTCTCCCTCTCTTTCTCTCTCTCTCTCACACACACACACACAAATGCGCATTAATGCATTTCACAAAAACATCGTAATTCATGCAATGCAACAAACACAAAAACAACAGTTGTTTCAGAAAAATAAATATTAAACAGCAGCTTCCATTAGATGATACTTTATATAATTTCACTGTTAAATGCCGATAATGTTCGAAGTCAAATCCATATGTACTAAAGTTACATGCAATATTGTCAGCTTTATGGGAATGTACTGAAGATAGTTCAATCTGATCTTCAACTTAAAAACTTTATACGTTATTTTATTTTATTATTACCAAGTTAGTTAAGCATTTAATGTTAGTATTGACATATTGCTGTTAGCTCCTTCCATTTCTAGCGGAATAGACGGAAGAACTCGTATGAATTATTTTGATGACTCAAAAATAACAAATACAGTCACTGATTCGCAATGATAATTTGTCCATAAGTTCACTGATCTAAAGTTATTTTCATTAATTAACAAGTAGAGTGGGTGTTCATAATGTAATGAAATGTTTAGTTTCAATGTCACGAAAGAACATTTTGGTAACATGCTGGGTTAAAGAGGATATCAGTTGATGAAATTACATTAATAAGCCTCGCTTAAGACTACACCAAATAAAATCTGTTTTCCTTTCACCTAAAAGTCTAGCCGAATTGAAAAAAGATCAACTACTCTTGCTTACCACTGTCATGAAATATTTAAGAACACGTTCCAAGTTTTGAATCTTCTACAAAAATTGGGCTAATGCATCAATTAACTTTTGTTAAACAGCTTCAGATAAATCAACCATCCTATAAACATCTTGCCCCGATGCAGTAACAATTCTATCAACATGACAACAACAAAGCGACGCGTGGGACCTTCCGCAAATACCCCACCCCATCACGTTTTCGAGAACATTTTTCTTTCCGGTCGTCCTGCAGGGACGCCTGCTTCGTCGCAAGCAAGCGGGCGGGCGGGCGCGGCCTAGCAACAGGTGTGGCAGCGGCGGCGGCGGCGGGCACGCTCGCGGGAGAGATGGAGGGGTACGGGGAGAGGGAGTGGAGGGAGGTTCGGAAATCGAATCCGCCCCCCACCACCACCCTCGCGCAGCTTTCTAGTCACGT